AAATAAGTATGTTATAAGATATAAATATGTATGAAATAAATGTTATTTTTCTCTCTGTACCAGATCATGTGCCGATATAAAAATATATGGAATGTAGATGTTCAGTTCCGTCCTGGATTTCTTGGGGGAATAATGCAAGCAACAGGTATGGAAACACAGAATCAAGCAAAAATAGATTTTAATGACCTTTTTCATAAGTAAATCTTCATTCTTAATCCCTCGGGAAAGATGAAGACATGAAGGTACGTATCCTTGATGTCTACTTAAGATAGACAGTCTACCTGGTGATACCAATACTAGTAGGGGAACATGGAGCCGGCTTCCCGGCCAATCATGAAGCCGAGTGGAGGTTAATGACTTGCAGCCCAGCTTCCTAATTGGCCAGGAAGCTGGCTCAATGCTGTTTGGCCACAAAAGACCTGGGAGAGCTTGATGGAGCTCTACTGATTTTTGTGGTGGCACAGGGGGGTGGGAGGTGAGAAACTGAGGACGGTCTGAAAGCCCCTCCAGCTTGTAATCCTTGAAGACCCCCTCCCACACCGAGGTGCCTAAGATGAAAGCTGGGGGTGCTGACATGGATGGTGCATGGGTGGAAAGCATAAAAGGACAATTCTTAGCAAGGGAGAAGATTTTGCAGACTGTTCCTTAGGCTTTTTCTGAGCAAGATGTGTGTTCTTACTTGACTCCTTCCTTGATTTGGATACCATTATTCTTGATAATGGTATCCAAGGTAGATTTAAAAAAAACTTTGTCCCTCAAAGACCATCATATGTTTCTTAGCAGCACAACACTTTAAGCAAAGTAGCTTCTGCATATGTATGGATGGAAGGCCTGTGGAGAAAACGAGATGAAAAAATGTCAACAGCCTATTCTAACTGTAGCTTAAAGCTACAGTAATTTGTTCCAACTTTTCTATGACCAATGGATCAACCACATTAATCACAACATCTCTTTAAAGGGACTTTGACCAATCAGCTAGGGTCTGGCAAAGCAAGGTCACAGCCAAGATTGAGTGAAGAGCAGGGCCTGCTAGTAACAACAGAGCCCTAGAGTGTGCTTCCAACCTTTTATTGGTTGGGTTCTAAACATAGGTGCATCCTTCACCAGTATGGTGATCACTTTGTTAGGGTATGACACTGCTAGATGCGCAGTGGGGGCAAACCAGTTTTTACAAAGTCCTCTACACAGGGGTACAAGGCTAACAAGCGCATCTGGGAACAAACATCTTACCAGGGTATTTCCAATCCTGGTAAGGGAGGACTTGGAACAGCAAGTACACTGCAAATGTCTTTGCGGTCTTAGGGGTTCTAAAGGACTCGAGGCTGAGAATAGCACTGGTAGAATCAACAGGCTGACCTTCTAGTTTTAGAGTGGCATGCAGTGCTTCAATAAAAGCTGAAACAGTCTCTGACAGAACACTGCGACTATATGGAAGCAAGCTCATATTTGGAAGCACTGAAGACTAGATTGACTCAATCAGAAAGAGTATCAGCAACTGATGGCTCACAGGCCACCAAGGCCATGGATAGATCAGACACAGAATCTACAGGGGAAGGCACGGGATCATGCATCTGGCCTTTGCAGTAAGTCAGCTAAAAACCAGGTGATTTGGCCCATAAAGTCTTGCATGACTCTAGTAAAAACCTCAGTTGAGAGGGCAGAAGAGCCCAGGGCCGGCCGTCAGGGGGGTACGGCCAGTACCATTGTAAGGGGCCCCGGCGGCCGGGGGGGCCCGGACTTCAAGCTATACTTTTCCCCATAGACTTGTAAGAATAGTACCATTTGCCTGGTCCTGGGCCCCCCTGCGCTGTTGGTACCTTCCGACGAAGTGCTTACAGGGGGGCGGAGCTAACTTTCACTTGGCAGAAGCGCCGGAGATCGTGGTGGAAGAGGAGCATGTCTGCTGCCACCTGCCTGGAGGGGAAAAGTAAGTGACAGAACCAGCAGACAGAGGCCCCGGGGTGGTGGGGGTTGTGATATAGACTGGAGGGAGAGAGAGACAGATCGACCGATGCTGAGAGCTTCTTAGCATCGGTCGGTGTGTCTCTCTCATGCTTCCCTCTCTTCTCTCAGCATGGTCGGCCTGTGTCTCACTCTTTCCCCCCTCCCCTCAGAGAAGGGGGGGGAGAGAGTGAGAGAGACCGACGGACACTGAGAGGAAGGGGAGGGGAGAGGGGGGGAGTGTGCAACGGACAGAAATGATGGAGCTAGGTGCATGCCCAGGGCCAGTATACAGTATACAGGCAACACAAGCAGCCCAAGGGCACTGGTGAGCAGTGTGTAAAAATCAGACCACAGACGCAGCATACAAACTCCCTGATAGATCAGAGTGAAGGAGCTCTGTCCTGTGTAATTGTCATCAATAACCCTCTCTGTCTCATTTTCAAATCTTACCTGAGCAAACTGAAGAGAGATGCCGATTGGTTGCCGCGAGCAACTGCTCCGAATTCTGCCTGCTCCAGTTTTGATAAACTCCCCTTAATGCATATAGTATGTGTTGTGGTGCACATTGTTAAAATAGGGCCATACACATTTTTCATCCTCTGTAGTACGTTGCCAGTCCATTCATAATAAATGTACAGCTATCACCTTTTTTGGCCGCAGTTCTCTTTACGGTCACAGGAGGACATTTACTAATGTCCTCCTGTGACCCAAAACGCAGCATATAGTGGGCTATTGTTTGCTATATGCTGACAGCGCAGAGCCGCACTGCAGCCGGGACGGATCTAGAGGCAGAGCCAGCTGTGCCCGACCCCTCTCCCATCCGTCCCTCCAGTCAGCACTAGAGAAACGGACAGGGGAGGGGGAAATCCCTGTGTGGGAAACGGTGACTGACAGTCATCTCTCTCTGCAGGGAGAAGATCGGGAACTGAGCGATCGGCTGTACGTGACGTGTTATTCCAAATTCTCTCAAGGAATGCCTTACTTGTGACAGTTTTAAAAGCAACCAGTGTTACTGTAGATAAAATATACAATTGGTGTTCTATTTGTCCTGGGTATAACAAAAAAGTATTGCATGCGTGGAACATGGCATTGAGATATCACTTAGGAATGAAATAAGTATGTTATAAGATATAAATATGTATGAAATAAATGTTATTTTTCTCTCTGTACCAGATCATGTGCCGATATAAAAATATATGGAATGTAGATGTTCAGTTCCGTCCTGGATTTCTTGGGGGAATAATGCAAGCAACAGGTATGGAAACACAGAATCAAGCAAAAATAGATTTTAATGACCTTTTTCATAAGTAAATCTTCATTCTTAATCCCTCGGGAAAGATGAAGACATGAAGGTACGTATCCTTGATGTCTACTTAAGATAGACAGTCTACCTGGTGATACCAATACTAGTAGGGGAACATGGAGCCGGCTTCCCGGCCAATCATGAAGCCGAGTGGAGGTTAATGACTTGCAGCCCAGCTTCCTAATTGGCCAGGAAGCTGGCTCAATGCTGTTTGGCCACAAAAGACCTGGGAGAGCTTGATGGAGCTCTACTGATTTTTGTGGTGGCACAGGGGGGTGGGAGGTGAGAAACTGAGGACGGTCTGAAAGCCCCTCCAGCTTGTAATCCTTGAAGACCCCCTCCCACACCGAGGTGCCTAAGATGAAAGCTGGGGGTGCTGACATGGATGGTGCATGGGTGGAAAGCATAAAAGGACAATTCTTAGCAAGGGAGAAGATTTTGCAGACTGTTCCTTAGGCTTTTTCTGAGCAAGATGTGTGTTCTTACTTGACTCCTTCCTTGATTTGGATACCATTATTCTTGATAATGGTATCCAAGGTAGATTTAAAAAAAACTTTGTCCCTCAAAGACCATCATATGTTTCTTAGCAGCACAACACTTTAAGCAAAGTAGCTTCTGCATATGTATGGATGGAAGGCCTGTGGAGAAAACGAGATGAAAAAATGTCAACAGCCTATTCTAACTGTAGCTTAAAGCTACAGTAATTTGTTCCAAATTTTCTATGACCAATGGATCAACCACATTAATCACAACATCTCTTTAAAGGGACTTTGACCAATCAGCTAGGGTTTGGCAAAGCAAGGTCACAGCCAAGATTGAGTGAAGAGCAGGGCCTGCTAGTAACAACAGAGCCCTAGAGTGTGCTTCCAACCTTTTATTGGTTGGGTTCTAAACATAGGTGCATCCTTCACCAGTATGGTGATCACTTTGTTAGGGTATGACACTGCTAGATGCACAGTGGGGGCAAACCAGTTTTTACAAAGTCCTCTACACAGGGGTACAAGGCTAACAAGCGCATCTGGGAACAAACATCTTACCAGGGTATTTCCAATCCTGGTAAGGGAGGACTTGGAACAGCAAGTACACTGCAAATGTCTTTGCGGTCTTAGGGGTTCTAAAGGACTCGAGGCTGAGAATAGCACTGGTAGAATCAACAGGCTGACCTTCTAGTTTTAGAGTGGCATGCAGTGCTTCAATAAAAGCTGAAACAGTCTCTGACAGAACACTGCGACTATATGGAAGCAAGCTCATATTTGGAAGCACTGAAGACTAGATTGACTCAATCAGAAAGAGTATCAGCAACTGATGGCTCACAGGCCACCAAGGCCATGGATAGATCAGACACAGAATCTACAGGGGAAGGCACGGGATCATGCATCTGGCCTTTGCAGTAAGTCAGCTAAAAACCAGGTGATTTGGCCCATAAAGTCTTGCATGACTCTAGTAAAAACCTCAGTTGAGAGGGCAGAAGAGCCCAGGGCCGGCCGTCAGGGGGGTACGGCCAGTACCATTGTAAGGGGCCCCGGCGGCCGGGGGGGCCCGGACTTCAAGCTATACTTTTCCCCATAGACTTGTAAGAATAGTACCATTTGCCTGGTCCTGGGCCCCCCTGCGCTGTTGGTACCTTCCGACGAAGTGCTTACAGGGGGGCGGAGCTAACTTTCACTTGGCAGAAGCGCCGGAGATCGTGGTGGAAGAGGAGCATGTCTGCTGCCACCTGCCTGGAGGGGAAAAGTAAGTGACAGAACCAGCAGACAGAGGCCCCGGGGTGGTGGGGGTTGTGATATAGACTGGAGGGAGAGAGAGACAGATCGACCGATGCTGAGAGCTTCTTAGCATCGGTCGGTGTGTCTCTCTCATGCTTCCCTCTCTTCTCTCAGCATGGTCGGCCTGTGTCTCACTCTTTCCCCCCTCCCCTCAGAGAAGGGGGGGGAGAGAGTGAGAGAGACCGACGGACACTGAGAGGAAGGGGAGGGGAGAGGGGGGGAGTGTGCAACGGACAGAAATGATGGAGCTAGGTGCATGCCCAGGGCCAGTATACAGTATACAGGCAACACAAGCAGCCCAAGGGCACTGGTGAGCAGGGTGGAAAAATCAGACCACAGACGCAGCATACAAACTCCCTGATAGATCAGAGTGAAGGAGCTCTGTCCTGTGTAATTGTCAGGCCCCTCCTCCTCTTCTCTGAGAGCCGACTTTCAGGCTGATAAGGTCGTGCTGTGTTGCTGGCTGTCAGCTCTGCAATGTCCCATCTCCAGATCTCCTCATAGTAAGCAATCCTTACTGCTGTATGTCCTGTATACAGGATCGTTTGTCATGTGTCTTTCATTACAAGCGATCCGCCAGCTCTATAGCCAGCGATTGCTTGTATGTTGACAGGCATCACTGCGTGTTTTCAAATTTAGGCATTTTCCCACTTGCGCGAGTGGTTGTGGCTGAGCAGATATCTAAAGACACCCGCTCAGATCTAGAGAGTTCCTGGCCAGCCGGGGGTTAGTTAAAGAAAATACATTTTCAACCTTTACACCATCCGCCTACCTTCATCTCACGGTCCCATGACATGAACACACTTTACCACTTAATTGACCTTCCCCACACAGTGTAATTCATGCTACCACAATGCCACTGAGGTCCACTGAGGTGCAATTGCATGCACTGTTTTTGCCAATTGCACCACAACAACACACAGCTCTCCTGAGACCCCACACAGGCCTCCTTAGACTCTACAAAACCCTTCTAAAACCTTCCACACTCCTACTCCTGAGACCCAGCGCAGCCTTCCTGAGACCCTGCACAGCCTTCTGCACAGACGCTCTGCTGGAGACATCAGACACCGTCACCCCGGATCAGCACAGAGTATGTAGCTTCCTATTATTCTTCATTGGTGTATAGTTTATTGCTTGGATTTGTAATCCTCTACAGCTGATGGTATTATAATAATAGCTACAGCTATAGAGGACTACAAATCCCAGCAATACATTATAAAGCAATGGCAACCAGCTATAGAGGACTACAGATCCCAGCAATACATCGTACATCAATGCAGGATAATACTATTATTCTGCATTCCTGTATAATGTATTGCTGGACTTTTAGTCCTCTATAGCAGGTTGTCATTCGGCATTGCTGTATAATGTGTTGCTGGGCTCCTGTGTATGAAGACTAGATTGACTCGGAATCAGAAAGAGTCTCAGCAACTGATGGCTCAGAGGCCACCAAGGCCATGGATAGATCAGACACAGAATCTACAGGGGAAGGCACGGGATCATGCATCTGGCCTTTGCAGTAAGTCAGCTAAAAACCAGGTGATTTGGCCCCAAGTCTTGCATGACTCTAGTAAAAACTTCAGTTGAGAGGGCAGAAGAGCCAACCAATACCTGACAGAGCTAAGGAAGACTCTAAAGACAATATAGATTCCAGGAGCAGAGGGATACAGCAGGATTTCAGGCTGTAGACTTCAAGTGTATCAGCTGATGTACTGCATGCAGCACTGGACTTGTTAGCAGAGTGTGAGCTGATTGCACTCTGTACAGCAGAACTGTCTGACTTAACACCCCCCCGGCATGTGACTGCATGGTGGTAAAGCAGTGTATAGGATAAGAGTAAGAGGCAAGGCCTCAGTTACTGGCAAAACCAGGACAGCTGGTAGCAGGTGAGAGTCAGAAGACCAGAAGTGACCAAACTCACTGTAGGACAGCAGAAACAGATCAGCAGAAACAGATCAGCGTTCTGCATGGCTCTCTTCAAGTTCAAGCAGCAGTGGGGAGATACTTCTTCAATGCAGTATGACAGGAAAGCGAGTGGGGAGAGCATGCGACACTCCACCCAGTGGATGATATCAGCACTCGGTCCCGCAATGTTATCCTTTCCACAGTGAACTGGTGGAAAAATTTGAATCTTAAAGGAGGCCTATGTAGTTGAGCTAGCTTACAGGGCTCGGCCTAACTGGCCCATTTAAAAAGTGAGTCTTCACCGCCAAGGCAAGTGTTGAGGTAAAGTCTGCGACTTTGTACCTGGAAAACACTTGGCAGCAAAATTTGCTACCAGAACAGAGTATGGAAAGTGCCCCAGGTAAAACCCAGTGCCTGAAGGTCACTTCCAGGCAATCCCTGCAATGGTAAATCCAGGGGGGTCCAGATGTGGCACTCCAAAAGTTAGCTGCAATTGGAGAGAACAGCGCTAGCAATAGTAGTGTAGAGAGGAGTCTTGAGTGAATTTTCTAGCTCAATATTGGTTAGTCTTTTAACTCTTTTGCTCCCAAAGACATAAGCTATATGTGGCTGGCAGTGGGCCCACTTCTTCAGACTAAGAACATTTCAGCAAATATAGAAAATACCTGTTGATCTCGCCAGAAATGCAGTGTCTGTGTCACTTCCTATGAGCATAACAGGCGGCAAAAACAATGTTATCTGTCTTTTGTAAACTTCTAATCCCTTCACTCCTCAGGTAGTGGAGATGAAGGTTGGTAAGCATGGCTCCCTCCATAGATACAGTGGAGGAATGAGCATAACCACCTTAGGACAAGATGTATGTTTTTTACTGGGTTACCCCTTTGTTACCTTTACTAATTTTATTTTAAACTTTATTTAAACATCTTGCCTTCTATGATGATAGAAAAGGCTTTTGGTTTCCACATTCATCTTTATTGCTAAAAACAGCCCCATTTGCGCGTAGTACTATTGCTGCGTTTGAGAGTTTGGATCTGCTTTTTCTCCTTTGGTTCAATTTACCTCAGATCTCAAAACCCCTTGGTGTGGGTCTGAACAAGGTGGCCCTATCTAGGAGCATGGGTTTCTCTGTTAGAGGTGAAGGTGGAAAACCCATTTAAAGATTTGGTCACCAGCTTTAATGCTGCATTACCTATCTAGCTCATGAGATTTGTGTGACCCTGGAATAATGGCATAGGTTGTATCACATGTTTTTTTTTTTTAGGTAACTCTTCACCTGCAATGGTTCCCAAAAAAAGAGCATATGTGGTACAGGATATGGAGAGACTATCAGAATATTACCAGGTTCCGCTGAAACAACCCAGTGACTTATTTCAAGTTGTTATTATAAAAGGTTAGTCCTTCGCTGTGTCTCTAACTTTGGTCAATGCTTTTTCTGACAAAAATCATGTAAGAGATCCATGTACATTTTAAAATTGTGCAAATACTGCACTTTTGTTTGCATGCATGTTGCATATTACCTTTGGCATCTCTGACTTTGCATATAATCAGGTTACCTCTTGTACAGCAGTTTGCGCATTCCAGGGGCCTAACTAGAAATCACATGGCCCCATAGCAAAATTTTGTATGGGGCCCTGTGATTTATCTTTATGCCCCTTGCAGAGCCCACCTGAGATCCCACACAGCCCAACTGAGAGTGACCCTGCAGAGCCCACCATAGACTATCTATGGTGGGCCTCTGCAGGGTTTCAGGTGGGCTGGTCTTACCCCTGCACACCTCCTACCTGTCAGCCCCGATCCTCTGTCAGCCTTCTCCACTGTTGGGTCCGGCCTCCTCCTCGGTCGCTGGCGGTCCCGCCTCCTCCATTGCCGCACCTGGCCTCTTCCTCCTCCTCCACTGCCGCTGGGCCCCGCCTCCTTCTCCAATGTCACCCA